TGGATGGGGTTGAAGTTGAAAGCTCTGACTTGTTATTTTGGTGGTCTGGTTGCTGGGCAAGAACATGTATTCTGACTTCCCACTGCCAGAACTGGTGTAATCATCATGCAATGCAAATACATCTTTCGGAGTACTCTTGGCTGCGTGTTCTTGTCTAATCGCCTGTCTGCCTATTCAAGCTCGGAGTCCTCTATACGTTTGCGCCGTGAGCTATCTACCTAAAATCTTCCTTCTGTGCTTCCTCCCTCCCTCAGTCCAATTCCTGTACCACCACTGGCCCCCTGTGCCGTTCGCTCACACTGTACGTTAGCGGGTTTCCTTGCATGATTCGTGGGGGCGGTGCCAGCACTCTTATGGCTGTGGTTTTCGCTCTGTATGTGTTCATTCTTTCGCCCATCTTGTGGCTCAGGCTGAAGTACACCTGTATCGGCGCGCCTTTGAGAATTTTCAGATCCTACAAAACCCTCCCTACTTCGTAGAGTCAGGGATTCTACATATATATATACGTACATACTTACATACAGCGGCGAAGGTCAAAACGTTCTGAGTAGGAAGCAAGACGAAACATCATGCGCATCTAGTAGTACAAAAGCAGCATAGATAACGATGTAGGATTCTATGATGGCATTAATCGCAATGAGAATCGTATAATGGAGGAAAGAGGTGAAAACAGTCTCACATAGAGCAATAACTGTGGATTTCACAAGGGCCGCTTGGGAAGTAGCTTGACGGTCCTGTTCCGCTTGACAATATGCGCATCCTTCCCGAAATAGCGGGCGGACTCGAAGGACCATTGCAGCGGACCCGTAATCCAGTTCTGCAGTCCTTGGACGTAGATAGCCACCTCCTTGTCGACTTCTTCTCCCCACGAGGGGAGGATGGCACGGTTTTCTTCAAAGCGCTGGAGGGAGATGTTGCACAGCCGGCCGCAGTAGTCAATAGCATCTTGCAGGTTGAGACCTTGATCGACCATGAGTACAGCAACTAGATTATGTGTGCTATGGTGAGATTGCTCCATGTTATAGGAGAAAATATCCTGTCAGCACCGATGTCAGTAGTGCCCCAACTTCGACGACAGAATGAGGTATTACATTTGACCAAGAAACAAAGTCATTGGTAGCCTCCTCCAGGGCCATGATGACCGGATGCGAGACTACTTCGTCGGGAAGATCAATCCGACCGGCGAATTCGATAAGGGCAAAGCAAGACTTGCAGCCGCTCAAGTCGCGCCTCAATTCGATGTAAGATTCAACATCATTGACATGTCCCTTGGCGCGGTTGTCTACCTCCTTTGCCGCAGAGATGAACCACAAGTCCATTGCGTGGATAAAGCGCTCTGTGCAGCCAGGGCCGCCAGTCTCCCTAAAGCGACCGAAGAATCTAAAAACCGTAAGATGGTTACAGTGTGTGCGTGACGGAGAAAATAGACACACGATTTGCACATCTTTCCACTATATCTTTCCGTCTGGAAGTTGACGGGATCACGGAACGCAGACATGCAGCAGTCACGTATTTTCCACGCATCATTAACATCGAACCTATCGATCTCGAGCCAGTCGTCTAATTTGAACGACCAGCCCAAGAAGTCTGCGCAGACTCTGAGATGGAAAGCATCCGCATCAGGGTAACAAGATGAAGCGAAATAACCTGGGCGCAAGCTCGTATATTTGGTACTCTCGGGTTCTACTAAATGGGCTTCGCTACAAAGCCATTGTTCAGTAGCAAGAGATACCGAATCACAGTGAGGGTTGAGTCGCATTGGGTAGCGACAATCGCTGAAGAAGTCAGGTACAATGAACTCTGCGGGCTCGGAGTCAGAACAAGTGACGGTGCAGGTTGCGGTAGAAGTCATGGAGGTTGTTGGACCCGTGTCGTGAACGTCTAGCGGAGAAATAAAAGACCTGAGTTATGAAACAAGGGCTCTGACATGCGTCAGTCTTTATACTTATGCCAATCTACTAGCAGGGTGTCGTATTGGCTCGGACCATCGCGTCCTTTTGGAAAAGAGGGTCCACCGGTTAGATTGAAAGAAAGCGGGGTGTAGGCTCACTTGTCCCATGCGTCACCTACTCGTATTATAGCAAGGTTTGAATCGCGCTTCCATAGACAGGGTGAAACATTACTTTGCTAGACCATAAGAGTCTCCTATGTTCCTGTGGCTTTGATGTCACTAACAAAAAATGTGAGACTCGAATTCAATGCGCTATTCCATAGGAAGGATGTACAAACGACGAGCCTTTTCTTGCTACGTGATATGTTATTTAATAATCGTTTCTATCAGTGGTCCTCTGCTGTGAACATGACAGTCAGCTCACCTCAAGCTTTTCCTTTTGCACTCCCTTTCTGGAAGTGAGTCGTGCGGCGAGTGGAAATTTTGGTCTGACTTGTCAGGGTTGAGATGATCATATGTCAAAACACAAGGACAATGAACATTGTAGATCTGACCATTGACGGGGATTAGCCCCCATGTAAATCGGGATCGATGTTCACATCTAAGACCTGTTCGTTGACTTGTGTGGGTGTCATGATTCATGGTACCTATGAAGAGTACCAGAATATCTACGGCAGATCTGCTGGGCGAGCCGAGATGGACAACCGAGCACACGCCAATGGGTTTCAGTGCCAAATACAGATATGTGGATAGATCAGTTGAGGAAGGGTTCCGCCGTACCGCTCGGAGCCTGGCGCTCAGTCATTTGCATCCCAGGCATCGCGTTGATCGAAGTATCTGTATCTGTCATATAATGACCATGAAACACGGAGCTGCCCCGAATCTGTCTCGTGAATTCTCGTCCTGAACCGTTCAGCCGGGGGTCTGTGTCATGTCTTGTGCGATAACATCATCGATATCAGTTTCGAGACTCCTCGTACTGGGTATCACCGTGATCTGCTCGAATGATCAAGGCTGTGCCCTGTCGCTCAACTGATGAATGTGTTATAGTCGCGCCGACGTTCAAAAATACGTGGTAAAAAATAAAATCACATTACTCATCAGAAACATCCCTTGTCAAATAGCAGTACTAGTGTCAAATCTGCTTTAGTTGCATGGTCGGGAGATACAGCAAGAACAAAACATTTTGGAAGCAAGACATGTTCGGCGTAATGTCTGAGTTTTACTAGATCTTGTTGATTGTCACGTAGTACTACCGCATTACGAAGTGCTTGCTATGCGGATGCAGTGGTGCACCGCCTGAGGCAACTCCAAAAGTCCAAGGTTAGCAGGTTTCTCAGGAACAAATATTGTTGATGATTTTTGATGGTATTATAAGGTTATCAGGGAGGGTATGCACACTGCTCAGTACTCAGCGCTGCAGCGCTGTCATGTGCCATCCGGGTTATAATTTTAATCACGTAGCAGTGACGCGTCTGGTCCATTTTTGGTCTATTTACGTCAAAATGCCCAGAAAAATAACATAGACTCGGATACTAGAGCAGCATACAAAACATGGACGGAATGTCAAAACCATTTTTAAAAAGCGAGAGCGGTAACGAGAAAGCTTTAAAGATGCAAATAGTGAAGACATAGAGATACGGTGTAAAACTGGATGGTTATGAGTGGGATGTTGGTAACAAATGCAGCAGGGATTAATCTGGAACAGTATATATGTAATGGGGATATTGATGTATAAGAACAAGTGCGCAACCAGGCGCAGTGTCCAAGCAAGCGGCGCTCATCAAAGCGCGCTCAGTTTTCTTTCATCTCTTCATCAATAGTGCTGCCAAAATAACACTTGTGAGCGGGGCTGGAGGATATACCAGGCGACATATTGGATGAGAACTGCATCACAGAATCAGGACTGAGTAATCCAGAGGTGTTAGGACTGGACACCAAATAATTCATGAGAGGTTGACGAGGAACGGGTATGATGAGCGCAGGAGGCGCGAGAGTACGCGTGTATTTTGTAGATGGAGATGGCGGTGGGAGTGCAGGGAGAGGGGCAGTGGGGGGCGGAGCGAGTGGGACGGTTCGCTTCACTGCACGACGCAGGCTGTACAGCATGAATTTCAGAAGACGTCCAATTATAGACATTAAATCATTGGAGCCACTCACCGTAGTGGAGCGCCTGCGTTCAGACTGCCACTCCTTAGTCTTTCAAAAAGACTGTTAGTTTCCGAGGCATTCTCTGCCATGCTGCCTGCACGACTCCGGGTGGGAGACATGATACCGGTGCGTTGAAGCGCGCTGCCCACATTTCGCGTCGGGGACTTGATAAGAGCCATCGGGTTCGCACCAATATTCATACTACTGCGACGCCTGCGCATGCGAGGACGGTCAGCACTCGCAGTGGGCACTGAAACAACGTTATTTGAGTTGCCACAGGGTGTGGGTGTCACGCTCAGATCGCGATCGACAGGGTGCATAGGACTGGATGTCATCGGCATCGGTGAGGAAGGTGGTACAGGAGTTGTTGCTCTGGGATGGTAAGGCGCGAGAAGGCCAGAAGAAAAGAAAGCAGAATAGGTGACCATCGTTGAAATCGCGAAGGCTTTGAATTTTGAAGCTGCTGTTGCAATAATTAGGGATGATGGTCAAAGAACAAGTTGAACCAAACCAAATTTAAACTGCTCGAAAAGGATACAAGGGACGTGGAGTTTCATTTCGCTAGAGCACTGCCACATTGTCACCTTGCCAACGAAAGGTGAGATCTGTAGTCTGTAGACTGCACAACATTAACATTCATCTACGTCAAAAACACAATTGTCAAGCTTGCAAATATTTGCTTGTACTAGCAGGCAGCAGCTAAGTACTAAGTAGCTAGAGCTTGAACGAATAGAGTATGGGCTCAACATTAACTCACATAGTAATCCAGCGCGACAAGATCACATTACAGCAACGGACATTCTTTGTTCACAAAAATTGCATGTCATGTTACAGCAGCTGTCGCTTTGAGTCAAAGGCCTACAACTGCTGTAACCTACAATTCGACGAACAATAATTCCTTAACAACGGAAAAGGGTCGTCTCACGCTTTTGAAAATCTTTGCCACCATGCCAGACAAGGCCGACTAGCTCAGTTGGTTAGAGCGTCGTGCTAATACGATCCGTTGGTAAGGACTCGACTGGTACTTTCGTGCTCTTACCGACGGACTCGATACGCGAAGGTCTTGGGTTCGATCCCCACGTTGGCCAATCTTTTTGTTCTTTGTTGTTGCCGTCAGGCTCCTCACTGGCAGTACCGTTTGGGTTGTAACTTGGTTCTATGCGTCCGTGGATGCTTTTTTGAAGGCACAGGGATGACCCGAATCGCACGTCACGGAGACGGTAGACCTAATTAGTTGGATGTCCATCTCAACAGGAGTGGCGCTGTGGGTGCCCAGTGAGGCTGCTACTGTACCGTAGGACCACTCGAACTCCGCCTCTCTCCTTGCATCGACGCCAGACCATGATGATGGCTGACCCAATACTTAGCTGGTTAGCATTTGATCTCTACAGATATCAACTCGGGTAAGCCTGGTGCGAACACTGCTGGTTCTATCTAATTTTCTTTTGACACAGTGGCAAAACTCAGTCGCGCCACCATGCATATGGGGACTCTGCAGCTAGAACGCGGTGACTATATCGTCGTGATGTTCGTACAGCCGCTAACTCATTTCACAGCTACTTATTTTTAAAGTGCAGGGGAAACCAATATCATCGTGAAACAGTTCTCATCTGTTTGAAGTCTGATGACATTAAGAAAGGTCACACGTTTAGATGAACAAGGTTGCCCGGAATAACTTGTGCGTCACAGTTGGCCCTCTCGTCAGTCAGTGTTCTGACATGGCATTTGACAAGTGGATACACACCATGTCGTCCGAAGATTGCATTGAAGGTCTCAGTGGCAACATATTCGAAGACTACCTCAACCCCCACTTCCTCGAAGGTATGCATTCACCTGATAATTTCGGTCTATATGCTTATCTGGTCCTGTAGCATACTGGCCAGTCCGTGAGGGCAACACACTCATCGTTCATGGCAGCATGCAGGCAGTAGAGTTCAAGCCATCGGGACCGATCCTGGCGAATATGGTAGAGTGGGCGAACACACTGCCGGCGCTTCTTGCCGTCTCCAGAAAGCTTAGACCAGACCTATCCCTGGCAGACTTCTGCGCTGCATTTAAATTGTCTCCAGAACACAGGGAAAGCTTGCTGAAAATGGCTATACGGGAACGCAAACTGGCAGGTATATGTCGTATCTGAGCTGAAAGAAATGGGTTTAAGGATGCCGTCGCACGATGGGCTACCGCTATTGATAGATCTATCCGCCGACTGAAGATGGGAGTTTCCCGGAGATGGATGCAGGGGAGGCGCCCCCTCCGGAGGGAAGCCTTCAGAAAAAGTGAGGCCTTGAGTCCGTTGTTTTGCTGCAGGCTTACCCTGCGAGCCCTGGCGTGCATCATACCAAGTCCGTTCTCTACTCTACTCCATCGTGCGCCGTTTACGACGATGATTTTACCCAATACTTGTGGTATATAGATTGCTTTCTAGCAAGCTTCTTGAACTCCCAGTGGTCGTCTGGCAAGTTATTTGTTTAGAACTAAATCGGTGCGTGAGTGAAGTGAGCACGAGTAACTTGTAAGTACTTATTATAGTCAAACTATGGTAGTACCCTACTGGCAATGCCAGTAGTAGGCCTTGAGTACCGAGTACTGAGTAGCAAGGTTGACAACATTGAGTCCGGAATATCTCAGATTATATTGCAAAGTTCACACCGCAACTTGAAGTCGCGGTTGTATTATGTCATCTGCCGTATCTGGGGAGGAACAACCTACGCTCTTTGATCCATCAATACGATCGCTCGTGTGTTAACCGAGTCAATATGTTCTTCATCGTGAGTACCTTCTCCGAGAGCTCCATCACCCCTCAATCCGTCATAACCAAACTTCAATGCTCAGAAAGAATTGACGCACACCATTCTACTCCATCCATCATACTTTGGCCCTCGGATGCTCCAGTTCCTTGAGTCAAAACTCTACTCAGACGTAGAGGGAACATGTTCAGGCGCATTCGGATACATCATTGCTGTCGTCTCCATCCTGGATATTGGAAAAGGCATGGTATTGAGCGGAAGTGGCCAGGCCGAATTCATCACCCGCTATCGTGCAATAGTCTTCAAGCCATTCAAGGGAGAAGTGGTCGATGGGGTCGTTAACAACGTTAACAAGGTGCTCCATGCCCTGCCATGTCTCCTTGCTCCCTACTCAATAGCGCGTAGATGGGCTTCTTTGCTGACGTCGGGCCATTAACAGTTTTCGTGTCTCACCAAGTGAGTTTAAACACTGCTCCATTCTGCCTCGCTCAACATCTCGCGCCATTCCTAGCTAATACATCCAGACATGAAATTTGATCCGACCTCGAATCCACCATCCTTTGCATCAGAGGACCAGGTATCGTCCATTTATGTGTCGTCCCCCTAATGTGCCTACCTTGTCTTGAACAGATCATCGAGAAAAACACTCGTGTACGCCTAAAAATTGTTGGAACGCGCGTTGACGCTACCGAGATCGTGAGTATCTTAATTTTAGTACGACTACAACTGTTCACACAAGGTCAGTTTGCCATCGGAACGATTAAAGAAGATCATCTCGGTGTTATAGACTAGTCAAAAGATCGAGTTTGGACGATCACACTATGTATGCTTGCTATCACTGTATTCGCTGTGTTATTTACTGCAAAGTACTAATGCCATCCATCCTCTTAGTCCAATTCATGCCCTAAATTAAATATCATTGGATGAAGCCATCCCACAGCAGGATGCCCGGCGAAAAAATAAGAACAGCATACATAGGAAAACAGTTGGCTACGAGTACCTACAAGGACAATATGCCAAGCGTGGGCTATTAATACATAGTCGAGGCAGTCTCGTCTAAGTATGACCGCTGCCCCGCTCATTCCTCATCCTCAAAATGCAGGACCTGCGCATCCTCGTCTACAGGTACATCCCTATATCCACGCCTCGCGCGGTAGCCCATCGATACAGATTCCAGGCTTGACGCTAGATATTCGAACGCGATGCCAGAAAGCCCGAGAAGGAACCATGGTACAGACGCCAACGTAGCCATCACACCAGATCCTGACCCATGCGAATAGTCGCCTCCGGGTAAACGGATCGTCCTGCGTGTCAACAATAAGCATACAACGCGTGCACATGAAGTAGATGTTACTTGCCCTCTCGCCATTCCGCTCTTGCTGTACCACCACCATGCGACGAGCGCTGTGATCGCAAAGGGGAACAAAATCACCATCATCCAGAACATCGCGCTGTGGCCATTGATGCCAGGGCATAGGTATTGCGTGCCTCGGTCTATGCGGTCGCCGCCCTCACAAGTGGAGTAGAGCACCTTGCGGTACGCCGTGCGTTCATACCAATAGTCTTCTCCATTGCGACACGAATCATCGGACGGCAGTGCACGCGTCCCCGGCACAAGAACGCATTCGTCTTCCCCGTTGCGGACATAGTTGAATTCACTGTTTTTCGTGCCCAGATTTAAATTAACTCTGAGCGGGTGGTATCACACCCATGACTCACCACTCAAAGTCCTCCAGCGTACATGTGCAGTTCCACTTAACATCGTCTAGTGCCTTGGGCGTGTTTCCAACAACACAGTTCACATCCCGTTTGCGGCGATGGTAGAGCGTCTGTACATGATATGGGTGACAAAGGAAGAAAAACTTAGGTTTGGTCGACTCACATGTCGACCGAACAAGCAAAGTGAGTCTCTTTCCTCGCTGGGGCTCCACAGCTCGAAGTCATCTTGTGCGGGATTTTCCACATTCACGAGGCCTGGAAGAATGAGTTCAACATCAATATCGAGCACAGGAGCACCTTACTCACATTTTCTATGCGTGAGAGATGAAAAGTCTAAGTGTACGATCACTGAGCCAGCCGTCGTGGGATAACGACCCAGGAGCATAAACTTCCGGCTTGTATCCTCTGGTACCGTCATAATATCTCTCACTCTGATCTTCTCAGTCATGAACTTGAATTCTCGCCAAGTGAGACCCTCATCTGTGGTAAACAGGACGTGGTCCGTCGGCTCCTCGTCGTTCACGATCACGATGATAGACCCTGAGTCGCCGAACTTCCAGAGATGGGCGTCCTTGTGCACTTCTTCCCACGTGAACCCGCCATTTCGAGACAGGAAGGTATCGCTCTCGGTGTAGGTGGCGAGCTCTTCACCCACGTTTCCAACTGCCATCACCACGCCAACGATAGATGGGCTGCTATATGTTGCCCGAGCGTCGAAGCGCTCTGTAAACCCGTGAACGTGGAGTGAACAGCCCTAAACACGAAAAGTCAGTCAATTGACAGCGATGCGCAAAAAAGCACAAAATACCACTGATGTACAAGGGTACTTCAGACCCAGCGAATCCACTGACGGAGGTAGAAGCGCCTTCCAAGTGCCACCTGAGGCAATAAACAGCCGTCAACGAGAGGCCAAAGATACCCATGGAACAAAACACACCATCATTATGGGTGATCCTCGTCTGCAGAGCCTTGCGTCCCGTGAGCGCAGCCTCTGCAGGATTGGCCACCACGTTGACCATCGCAATGCCATTCAACCCCGCAAATTTCTCGAAGTCGACGAAGCCGCCATCGTTCCTGTTCACGTTCTCGATGGACAGCCCAAAGTAAGTTCCGTTGGAGTTGGATTTGAGGATGTTGCCCCATGGCGTTGGAAGCTCGTTCATGGTCATGTGTAAGAAGATGGATTTAGTGCTTGACTCGAGGACAGTGTATGCCTAGAAAACATCATGAGCAAATCCAGCGTTTGTAGAGCTAGGGTGATGCTGCCTACGTGAGAATCTGGATGCATACCAGGAGGGAAGCTCCCAGAAGCAAACGTTCGCCCATCAAGTGAGACCTGGAGGTTGAGCGTGCCCCTCATTGGGAGGTACTGCAAGTACACAACCAGTCAATCAACAGCGCACGCACAAGACAACCAAAAAACTCACTTCAGCCACTATCAAAAACTCTGAAAACTTGGTGAACCCCACGACATGGTCAAATAGTTTCGTCTTCGTCGCATAATAGTCCGTCCCAGACACAAGCTGCAACGCATTCTCTTTCCCGAAAAACACCTGCGAACCCTGTTTATTCGCATATGACTCGCATAGGATCTGAGATGAATCGACCCGCAGCTCCTCATC